TCTCTCTCTCAAAAATAAATAAACATTAAAAAAAAAAAAGGATGAATGGATAAACAAATGTGGTCCATCCACACAATGGAATATTGTCTGGCCACAGAAAGGAGCAAAGTCCCAATGGGTGCTTCAACATGAAGGAACCTCAAAACATCATGCCTAGCGAAAGGGGAGAGTCACAAGGGACGGCACACAGTATGACCCTGTCTATAGAACTATCCAGGAGGGGCAAAACCAGAGGCAGAAAGCAGACTGGTGCCCGGCTCTGAAGGAAGGGGACGGGGAGGGACTCCTAATCGGTGCGGGGTCACCAGCCGTCCCCACCCCCAGGGGAGAGAACTGCTCACCCCCGTGAGGAAGTCGGGGTGCGTGGAGCACAGTGAGAGTGAGTGGAACCCACAACAGGGCACCTGCAGCAGAGCCAAAGCCACCCCTGCACCACGTTCACCTCCGTCCAGTCCCCCTGCATTGGGGGTGTCCACCTGGGTGACAAGGGACACCCGAGAGCCTGTCTCCTGTGTGGTTGCTGAGGTAGATGTCACTCTGGGTCTCCAGGGCATAGCACAGGTATGCAAAGTGGTCCGACAGTGGCATTGGGGACCCCTCCTGGCTGCCTGGGACAGAGGCCGTCATATCCTCCAGAGGGAAGGATGTGCTGGATGAGGCTCCGGGGATGCGTGCTGGAGCCACGTAACCTCCCAAGGCGCCCAGACACCGGACGGCCAGTTCCCCGACAGCTGCAGGGCTGGCCCCTAGACCCGGCCTCTGCGGGTGCTATAGCGGGCGCCTGGCCTCCTCCCGTCCTCCGTGCGGGGCCGCGGTGCTAGCCCGAGCAGGGGGACCACACTGAGGATGTTGCGGCGGGAGAGAGGTAGACCCCGCTCACAGTGGAGCCCAGGGCGGAGCCCGGATGCAGCCTCCGGAGACAAATGAACCTGTTTGCTCGCTGCCTATTTCCCCGGGTTTCTGTTACCTGTAGCTGAACGCTCCCACCTGACCCACCGGCCCAGAGCTGCTCTAGGTGGGGTCCACAGGCCAGCACAGTCCACTGGTTGCTGTGGCCCCACAGTGGTTACCAGTCTACACAAAATGGAGAGCAAGACATGACCCTCCCCATGGGAAGGGGTGTCTACCTGCCCAGGAGAGGCCGGTCACGTGGCAGGAGTTGCATGCGGGGCCCACAGTCGGGCCACCCGTCAATCTCTTAATAAAGCACTGGCCCTTCACCAGGATGGCTTGAGAAGCCTGCACCGCGGGCAGGACGGTTGCCACGGTCACTTGGGGTAACCCACACAAACAGTCATTTTGCAAAGACACTGAGTGATCAATGCTTCGGTGATGGGGACACAGCCCCTGCTGTGGGAAAGTGATGGAGAGCCTCTAAGCACATGTAGGGAACCCCCAGCTTCTCACTTCCGGGCAGCCCCAATGATGATTCCGGACCCTTCCTTCTGGGACATTTGTGCATCCAACAGACATCACCTCAACCTTCTCTCCCTCTTTGTACAAAGCAACTCTAGCGAGGGAAGACTAATGAGTGATCTCGCGAAGCAAATAGCCATGGAAGAGTTCCCGGAAGGAAATTAGAATATTGCGACGCTAACATAAGATGTCTTGGCAGCACGCATTCCGGAACGATGCCCACGGATTCCTCCTCAATCTCACCAATGCGCAGTGCTACGTGCATCCTCCAGAAAGATACGTTGAGGTCCTGACCCCCACTACCACAGAACGTGATGGTCCTTGCAAGTGTAATCAGTGAGGGACTCCTAATCGGTGCTGAAGCAGGAGAGGCTCTGACCCAATAGGACCCGTGTCCTTGTAGGATGGCCATGTGAGGACACAGAGGCACCAGGGGAACGCCACGTGAGGACAGAGGCAGAACTCCAGTAACGAGATCCTGCCAGCCAAGGAGAGCCACAGCAGCAAATGCCAGAAGCTGGGAGAGCCAGAGATAGATTGTCCCTCACTGCCCTAGCGGGACCCAGACCTGTCGACACCTTGATCTTGAACTTCTGGTCTCCAGAACCATGAGGTGCTCAGTCTGTGGCACTTAGTGTCCTGTGGCCCCAGCCCCAGAAAACTAACACGGGGGGGGGGGGG